ATGGCGAACTTTTAGCAAATAATCTGAAATTTTATAAAAAATTTAAATAAAATAAAAAATCGGTTTCTACACTCTAAAAAAATATATTTAAAAATTAAAAGTCATTTTCCCAAAAATGGTACCCCTCAGATTTGCTTGATATTTTTTCTCATGAAAGGCAATATAATTACCTAACTTTTCTTCATACATCGCAAAGTGGGCGCTTTTAAGAAAAAAAAGTTGTTCGAACAACAACTTTTTCATGTTAATTTTTTTTTAGCGTGTTTCACTCAAAGTCGAATAGTAATACGCGCACAACCTTATTAAAATTCGATTAAACTTTATGGGTATACTTTTCGATAATCTGGGCGAAATCTAGCCTAACATTTGAAAAGGGTACAGAGAAGTTACCTGCAAATCGTCCAATAAGAGTTCAGAACAAAACGTTCTAATGAGGAACAGCCATCTCAGCATGGTTTGCACTTTCCTGTGATGGATTGTATTATAATATATGCATACACTCTATCCAACTTCTATAAAACCACCCTCAAATTGTTCCAAATCAACAGGTAAACTAAGTAAAAATCACTTAGTATGTTTTATTCATGAAAAGATTTCAATTCATGTATTTGTGATTAATTTAATTAGAAAAATAATCATTCATTTATTTTTATGTATTAGGTGTGTCCATTAGTAAGCAATATGCATATATGTTTATACCTCATCTCTCAAGTGAATACATATAATAGCGCAGGTAACTTAACGATTATTTAAGGCATGCCTAAAATAATCGTTAAGTTACCTGCTATATAGCAAATCAAATGATTTTGACGAAATGATGATGCAGTTAAAGGAGAAATTTAATTTGCCTTCTACGAGTACAAATGACAAATTAAAAGTGTTATCAGTGCTCCCTAAATCAAGGAAGTAATGATTATGTTTCTGAATATCGAAATGGATATAAAGAGCATGTTCAGAAACGTTTATTGATGATGTCTCTTAAAGAGGCTTTTATGATTTTTGAAGAGAAATACAAAAGTGTTAAAATCGGATTTACTTCGTTCACTCAGCTCCGACCAAAGCATTGCATACTGTTGGATAGTACAGGTACACATAATGTATGTGTCTGTACTATACATGAAAATGTTAAATTGATTATTAATAGTGTAAAATTTGATTCATATAAAGAAATTGCAGACAAAATACTTTGCAGTAGTCCTATTAGAACCATAGATTGTTTTTATCGTACATGTGAAGAATGCATTTCCACAGATAGTATCGTGAGGGAACTTACATCAGTATTAGAAGCAGATGATATGGAAGAAGTTTTATTTCAACAGTGGTTGACTACCGACCGTTGTAATTTGGAAACTATTATTAAACCTGCAGATGAGTTTGTTCAATATTTGACGGAAAAAGTTGAAAAGCTCATAACCCATGATTTTATTCATAAAGAGCAATCATCTTACCTAAGTAATAAAAAAAATTCTCTTCAAAACGGTGAAATTTTAGTGATTTGCGACTTTTCTGAAAATTATTCATTTATTATTCAAAACTCAGCACAGGGGTATCATTGGAACAATAATCAAGCTACGATACATCCTTTCGAAATTTACTACATAAAAGAAAACAAGTTGGAAAATTTAAGCTTTATTATTATTTCAGAAGTATTGACCCATGATACAATAGCAGTTCAATTATTTATATCAAAATTGTTAGATTTCATTAAACAATCTATTAGTTTCACAAAAATTACTTTCATGTCAGATGGAGCAGCGGCTCATTACAAAAATAAAAAGAATTTTGCCAGTTTGTGCAACTTCAAGTCCAAGTATGGATTGGAAGCAGAATGGCACTTCTTCGCAACGTCTCATGGGAAAGGCCCATGTGACGCAATTGGAGGAACTCTCAAACGAATGGCAAAGAGAGCAAGTCTTGCTCGAGATTATGGAAACACAATCACAACTCCACAAGAACTGTATGACTGGGCAGTTAAACAAACAGATACAAGCATAACAAAATTGAACTTCTGCTTCATATCAAATGATCAATACACAGAGATGTCCGATGAACTCAAGGAGCTGTTCAGTCATGTAAAAACTATACCTGGTACACAAAAATTTCATTGTTTTGTACCTATTTCTCAAAACATAATTTCTACTAAGCGATTTTCACATTCAAAGGAAACTCCGAAAAATTTCACTCTGTTTCCGATAGACTAATAATCAATGAAAAACTCAAATTATGTATGGAGAATTATAGGAAAATAAATTATGCACTAAACAAAAACACTAGAGTTTTCATTTATTAAAACACCATTCGAAATGCAGGAAAATCCTCTGTATTAGGCCCTTTCAAATGTTAGGCTAGATTTTTGTTTTAAGCACGCCCAGATTATCAAAAGGTCAAAATCTTTATGCTCATTAAGTTTCAACGGATTTTAATAAGGTTGTGCGCGTATTACTATTCGACTTTGAGTGAAACACGCTAAAAAAAAATTAACATGAAAAAGTTGTTGTTCGAACAACTTTTTTTCCTTAAAAGCGCCCACTTTGCGATGTATGAAGAAAAGTTAGGTAATTATATTGCCTTTCATGAGAAAAAATATCAAGCAAATCTGAAGGGTACCATTTTTGGGAAAATGACTTTTAATTTTTAAATATATTTTTTTAGAGTGTAGAAACTAATTTTTTAATTTATTTAAATTTTTTTATAAAATTTCAGATTATTTGCTAAAAGTTCGCCATATATCACTATTTTGTAGGGCTTGTCATTTTTAAGCTATATCGATTTGAAAAAAAAATCGACAAAAAACTTTGACCCTTATCAAATGTTAGGCGAGATAAATTTTGAAAAAAATAAGTACTCAAAGTTGCTTAAAATTGCTAAGTCTCCACACCCACAAAGTTTCATAAGGTTCTGAGAGGGTGTTGCCAACTCCGAAGACGAGTTGGCGTGAAATCCGTCTAATGGAAAATTTAATATAAATGCTTTGTTTTGGAATTTATTCATAGGCCCAAAATGAGGGAAATTTTGGCCGACATTAGGAACAACAACCCTGCGTTATAGTTTTAGCTCAATTTTGATTATCCCAATATCCCACCTCAGTATTATGGGCTAGTTAGTAACTTTTATGGGCCAGTCAGTTCTGCGTGTTAACAAAATTTAAGTGGCCCATTTATATTGTGGGTGACTTATACTGGGTTGACTGAACAATACAATTTTCAATCAAATTTATAACAAAAATATGCCTAAGTTGTCTGAACTACTGCGACCAGGGCTGTTAATCGATAACCGTGAATAACGTCTGCGTTAATGACTGCAATGCAAATTCATCGTCGTGACTAGGGATAGTGAGAAACGCTGCTCTAAAGAATTTCTAAAACAATGGTTCTCATTACTTAAATAAATCATGTGGAACGATGTTTCATCGTCGACACTTTACTAGCTACAAACGGGATACCTCTCGCGTGTTTGCCAGCAAAACTAATGGGTGCATATGTTTCGACAGTGAAATGCAGCTGTTCATATGTAAGTTGCTAATTAGGATTACCCTTTATATTTTTCACAGATCTGCATAAAATGAACTATTTATTTATAGCCAAAATAATTACGAGTAGGTAAATGCATATTTGGTCATTTCCGCTTGTATCGTCATCGTCGTTTCGTAGTATTAGCACCAACGAAGTAGTAGACTCTAGTTAGATGGATGATGGAGCAATGATATGCGTACTGTTTTATATATGCCAATCTGCAGTTTATTTTGTGAAACGCATTCAGACAAAAAAATGCATGTTTATTAATGTTGTTTTTGTCATATACAAACATTAATAAAGGCAAAAAATCATATACATGGGACGGTACTAATGGATATTTTTGGTCGCTATTGAAAATTTAGTCGATTGCTGAATTTATGTATGGGCCCAAATTAGGGGCATTTAGGCCGACGTTATATCAATTTCGCCTAGAAGTTGAAAATTTTGGATTTCATACGATTTAATTTAAACATTACTAATTTAATTCTTTCTTTGCTTTTTTACTTAATCTGTAGTTATTTACGATAGTAAAGATGTGCATTCACGATATTAATGTTGGACATTGTTATACGACTTCTGGTTGTCTAAGTATAGTAACCCATTTCAAGTACACGATGCAAATGACGAATGACAGATCTCCAATTCTTGAAACTGAAACTATAACGAATGAAATGAAAAACAAGCCTGACACGACGATTTAAAACATTGTTGAACCTATTACTATAATACTGTCCAGAAGAAATCTACTAAGCATGCGTCTTTTTGAACAACCTTTAAACGACTACATTTAGATTAGTAGTATCACATAGGTATAAAACAAAACACAAAACACGTTTTAGTAACTCAAGGTGTCTATTGTGCAATGTATTTGGCTGATACAAAAGGTGTTATCAATATTTTTGAGAAGAGCAATGCTAAAATCAAATTGAATATGAAGGAATCCAATATCCTTTAGTGCCAATCGTTCTTTCAATAATTTTGGTTTATAAATTGAATCAGCCGTAAATACGAGGGATATCTAAGTGAAATTTACTAGGGTAAATTAAGGCTTCGACACTTCTTATAATGTGTTATCGTCAGGAGAGTAAATGAATTCCATTCGGGCTAATATTTTGCATGAATGTGGAATATATTCCAGAGTATCGTTTTGCAAAAAATGAACACTCTAAGACTTCATTTACCCCCTAACGATAATAGACAAATAAGTACCAAGCCGTCATTTCCCCTATGTATCGTCTACTGACACATAACATCGATGGATGGAAATACGGAGATGATTATAACATTATTTACGTATGTATTGTATTAGAGGATACAGCTGCACAGGATAAGGTCTAAAACTACGAGAGCTCAGTTGGCATAGGGAGTTTGAACATAGATTAGTTTGCAATAGCCATACAAAACATCCGCAAATCAAAAACGGAGCAACAGCTCCGTGCTCATCACGTCATATGGCAAATTTGGTGATTGACTAGATTTAGATACCGTGTTCGAGTGACGTCTCATGAGGGCAAAACTGAACCGTCGGAGAGAGTTGTCACTTTCGCCCGCTCCCGGTGGATTGCTGCTCATATGGTAAGGTGACAGCGAACCTGTCACTACCAGTGACGGTATCCTAAGCCGATAGGGCATTTTGCTTGGTGAAACGTGGCCAGATTCACTGGTAGTGTCGGCGGTCGGTGAGGCAGCATCAGCACGGGTGGGCTTAGAATGAACGTTGGTTGTTGCCTCCGTAGCGGACGATGAAGGGTTGCTGCTTGGAAACGCATTGTCAAAAAGAACGGCGCTTGGGAAGGAACCGTGGATGCTGTTCACCAAGGCTTTCACATGACCGAAGCTTCCCTTGCGCTCCATCCCAATACTTTTCAATCCGATAGAATTTGATTTTTTTTTTGGTATTTACGGCTGAGATTATGCTAACTCACGGATTGTCATTACCGTCATTCCTCATAATCACACAAGTCAGAATCAGGAATTATTACACCGGATAACAACGATAATGGGAGATATATGATGGATATAGCCACTTTCTGTGTAACTTCAATTAAATCACCTCCAAAAATAATTCTTTCGAATGTACATTTACGATAACAGACATTAGTAAATACGAGCAATTAACGGTATTGTAGGATAAATATAGTACACATTCTGGAAAAAATATGGATAAAAAACAATCGATGATATCTTGATAAATAAAAACGTAAACACAGAATGATTTATGAAAAGTGGGAAATGAATGTATGTGTACATAATATTTGTTCTATGTTTTGATGATATGACATGAACAAAACATGTTCTGTAAATCTGAAAATTTTAATCATTTTTCAAACTTTCAGAAACTTGTAGGCCTTTTCAAACAAATTATATTTTCCAAGATTTCAAGTTCTTACTTATAAAAGCCAATTTGATTATGCACTGTTATGAGTAATTTGATAAAAGCATTAATAAAAAGTATGCATTTACAAAGTGTTCGACAATATTAATAACTATTCTAGTGACCATAGCATGATTGAAATGGATTTATGTTTCTAATCAACGCTACAGTAGATTCACATTGAATAAAAAAAAAACTATGACGTTTAAGCAATCACTAAGCTCATTGCAGACAGGTCAGTTTGTCACGTTGTCGAGTAACTCCGATAGAGTGAATGCAAAATTTGCATCAGCGGATATCAATCAGTAGGTTCTAGACAGAAAACAACTTAACAAACTCACATTGCATACCAGAAGATCATTACAATATACAAGGGCTAGTAAGCTTGATGAATGAATAAACAGAATGTGTCACATGGTAACGATTTTGAATTTGCTCTCGTTTTATATTTTTGCTGATGCACTAGTAAACATCAAACTGGTCTAGTAGGAATACAATTAAACTCGGAAACAATGTATGTGCGGTCCTGTCACGGTGGCAACTGTTCAAAATGCGCAAAAACGCGCGCGGGTGAAAATTTAATTGTTGGTGAAGCAGACTCACATGAGATTCGTTAGACACCGCGAAGATGATGATGTTATATGAACCATGTGATGAATAATGTGTTTATCATTTTTAATATCGCTCATGAATTTAGAATAACATGTGTTGAGAAATTCGTGGTCTATCGTTGAGGCGTACAATGCAATGATTAAAGGTTCCGTGCTACATTTGCGCACGAAGTGACTGTTGTGTGGTGTCTGATCGGAAGTACAATCGTCAATAATCGAATTTACAGTTTTCAACTGATCCGACACTCTACGGAAGCTGTAGCGAATAACCTATGTTTCGCGGTCAATTTGCTTGTTCAGCACAATTAATTCGTGTTCGAGTTAAAGAGTGCTTTACAATATTCTCAATTTACGTTTCAAGTTCATTCGAATGGAATGTTTGCGGTAATTGTCAGCTCTGACGGAGAGCAGCAGAATGAATGCACTGTGCGGAGTTTGATTCCATTTCCTTACAGCACACTAAATCCCAATTAATGGCGGTAAAAGTGTTTGCAATAAGATACAGATGGAAAAAGAAATAAGAAGACATAAACAAACCCATTGTGAAAATCACAAAACCCCAATACATACACAGTTCAACTAATTCTGTTTATTAGTATATTCAAGTTTCTCGATAATAAAAACTGGTCCACGATGATTGTGTAGAGGAAAAGTCCATCTATACGATAGGATTGATGACTTACATGGACAGACTTAGAATTACGAGAAATTTGTGGAAAAAGCTATTGTATATGATAGCTACTTAAGTTATATTGGTTCAAATAATTGATTTTGCTCCACTCAGCTCAATCGATTCCAAATCAGGTCCTGATCATTTTTCTTAACTTTAAGCTCTTTTGGTTGTGATCTCGAACTGCACGTAGTTATATCAAACTGAACATTGCAATAGGTCGTAAGTAACATTGATCGATTCTCTTAGTCGATTTCTATTTCGTCAATAACTTGGATACAGAACCGTTTCTCGGCCGTGTTTTTCGTATTAGATGCTAGATAAAAGCTTCTTTCATCGATCTGTGTGCTGAAAATACCTGGGAATGTATTTACATGACCGTGGGGATATAAAGAGAAAGTCAACGAAGTGTTTACCACGTACCAGCCTTTCAACACAATCATTTATGGGTAAACCTTGCTATATGTATGTTTAAGAAAAGTTACTGAACTTCAACTTTGCTCAAAACCTTATTTCAATCGAATGCAAGGACAATTAGCTATTATTCAATGAAAAAGCTGATTTGTGTTCTGCAAAGATCTAGCTGAGAAATTTTCCTATGCAGATAGCACCCTTAGATTATTATGACGAAAGGCTAGGATATGGTGAATTAAATTTCCCATGTAAACTTCGCAGGGCCAGTGCAGTATGAGATTGTAACCAAATGAGCTCAAATTTTGGGAGAATGATTAAGGCCTGGGTCTCATTATTGAAGTCAAACGAAGTGAATTTCACATGAACTGTTTGTAAGAAAAAGAAATTTCGAATCTGTTGAGTTAGGGTGAGAAAAATCAATATTTTGAACCACCATAAAGACTATACGTAAAAACAAAAAAATACAGGGTGACGGGTAGCTCGTGGTAATCCCGCAAGAGGGTGATAGAGGACCAAAAACAATGCAAAACAAATCTTACACTGTACCTCAATTGTTGCCTAACTATTTCAATCATTAAAAAGTCGATACGGCCGTTAAGATTCACACTTTTAGACATTTAAGCAGCATAGATTTGGTATAGTAGAGAGTTATTTCTGCCTAATCGCCTATGTTCGTCCTATTGAGCATAAAACATAAAATATTGCTATGATTTTGCCCGAAAATCTATAAAATTTCACATTGTCCGAATATTCGGTGCACCGAATAGTAGCAATAATATTCGACCGAATAAGTCCACTTGATTTACTTGCATGTAGAATTATTATAGTTGAAGATACAGTTAACAGTTATTCATATCATGAATTGTTTCAATTAATGATTTTTTTTTTTTCAATTTCGTTTCAAGCATGTAGGGGAACTGGAAGTAAAATGAACAGATGGCTTTTTAGCGATGAAATTTTCAAGATTCTGCAAATGTAAGCCTCTAACTTAGTATTTTTTGAGCGCTTCTACACTGCCGTTATACGCATAGCATATCTGTCCCATGTTCTAAAAGTGACATCTGAGAAAATCGCGAATAATGTTTCGAATCATTTCTGCTCATTAGAAGAAATATAAGTTAAAATAAGTTAGTGCATTGTTAACATTTCAACAGAATCAATTTGTTTTAGTTAAACTACAGAAATTACCTTCAATGAAATTAGTCAAGCCTATTTTTATACGAAAACAATTCAGTGGGACTGTTATGCCGAGAAATTTGCTATGAATTAGGAAATTCTACGCATATCAATCCCACTAAGAACTATTACTTTTCGTGTGAATCAAACGTTGCGTTTGACGTCTTTACGCTTGTGGTTGTGTTTACATGAGCGTGCTTGAGTTCTCCGCGAAATTTTGAAAGTGGATAGATTGCATAGGTTTGCATCATTGACTGAAACCAACAATAAGTAATTCGACATTGCTGCAATCGTCGTTTGCTACATCTATAAAGCCTATGAGTATGGGCATCTTGAGAACAAATGATGAATGTTCTGTGTAGAACACAATAAGGTTGACGATCGTGGACTTCGATGATTTCAAGAAAGACTTTGGAAAAGTTAACATACACAGTAAGGATTTCATTATATTCCAAAAATGCATCCACGGTAGTATATTGAGAACATTATAACGACTAAATTTACGAAAGGACGATACGACAACGGAAATTCTGAATCAGTCAACAGGAACCTTATTTTAACTACAAAATATGGTAGCAGCTATCAACTAGATGAATGAACACATCATGTGACAGAAAGTACCATCATTGTTAACTGCAAAGTTGTTTTTAGACAATAATACGTACTTTTTTAATCATGCCAATATTGGAAGACGTTTATATATCGTTGCAACATACAATTTAATTTTAAATCATGTTATTTTGTCTTTGGTTTATTTCAAGAACATTACACTGCTTCTTATCAATTGATTATTGCCGTTTCAGGGAAAATAATTCGAAGCAACTGACAGCCACAGCATGCTATTAAAGCTGATAATCTGACGCCAAATGCTAATTTTTCTCTGAATTGGCAATATTATTACTCTAATAATGCACAGTTTGAAATGTGAACTATAATATGGTGTTTTAATATGAACTCCCGTTTCTCTCAATATTTTTCATCATAAAAAAAACCTTCTACTTCCCGAAATGACTAATTGAGTTTCTTTTGATCATATAAATCCTGTGTCAATCATTCGTGCACTCAAATCGATTCGTTGATAAAAGATTCAAATAAAAAATATTTGTGGGACAGTTATGCGTAGAATTTCAACATGAGACAATCAGACTTGATGTTGTTTTTAAAATAAGCCCACAACAAATAACATGGTTTTCAATTTTCATTCGAAACTTTACCTAAAAAGTACTGTTTTATGAACAAAAGTGAAAAACATCCAAAAGTAACTTGGGACAGATATGCGTAGAACGGCAGTACAGTTTTTAATTAAAAGCTTTGTATAAGGTCTAGTAAAAACGTGTATTACGTTGCGTAGTTTTTGTTTTCTCGATCTAATCTAGTTTGCGTTTCGCTGGAATAATCCTGAAGTCCAATTTAATTATATGGGAGAGAATGATAAAAAATGTAATGAACAATGATACAAAATGCGTAAAATTCTGCGGAAATTCAGAATAAACAAAAAATAATAGGCGGTTTGTTTAAACATTATGCGAATATATAAGTGAACATTATTTATTTACTTATTTATTTCGTCAATCAGTGCAGGCTAAATTAATATACAACCAAGACCATGCCTGGAGGTGACTGGGTTCGATTCCCGGTCCGATCTAGGAATTTCTCGACTTCTCTGGGCATAGAGTATGATTGTACTTGCCACAAAATATACTAATGCAAATAAGGGACAGGCATCGAAAGCTCTCAATTAATAGCTGTGGAAGTGCTTCTAGAACACTAAGTTGACAGCACGCAATAAGCAAATATGCGATAAGTAATAAGATTGAAATGCAAAGAAAAAGAAGAAGGACATATACAAATGTAAACGGCGCCGGTGGTGTTGTGGTAAGCGTGATTGCCTCTCACCCCAAAA